ATAATTATTGTTACTCTTTAACTAAGAATATTAGTATAATATCTGTGATTAATGTTGTTTTAAACATGTGTTCTTCTCTGTTAAAGTTCAAGTGTTAATAAGCTGGGGCGGACCCACATGTGTTCTTCGCAAAAAAATTCATTATTTTATGTGGAAAATATTTTCTTAAACAACACAATATCGGATAAGTATATTAAGTTGAACCTGTTTGACAGAAACAATAGTTGGTCGAGTTGGTTTAAGCGGGTTCAGGAAGTAGGTGAGGTGTCGAGTTGGTTCCTGCTCTTTATTTTTCCAAAAGCATGTTATAATTCATTTGAACTGTTTTGCTTACCTCCTCATTGTAGCCCCTCACTGTTTTTTTTTTCTTAATTATTATTTAATTTAGCTAATTTTCATAGTTTCAAATTCTGATACTATTAAAATTATAACTCTATTTTAGTTTATATTTTTATTCTATTGTTATTATTTTTTCATAAATTGTTTATTATAATGAATATTTCAGCAGTTGTTAATCTGTTAGATTTAATCAATAAATAGAGTTGTTGTTTTGGTATAGATTGAATTGATTTGGTAACGTAATATTCAAAAAAAGTTCAATAAATTGTTAAATTTGAAAAAGTAAATAGATATGTTGTTCACTTTTATTATTTTCATTTTTTTAAGAGCTCAATAGAAAAATGAGGTCTTGAATAGAGCCATCAATATGGGCTTGGCTCGTTGGGCCAGCCCAGCCCGTGATTTAGCAGGGGTGGACTAGAATTTTTAGAGCCTGTTTAAAAATGAGGCTTTTAAGCCCGGCCCGAGTAAGCCCGTGGCCCGTGAGGCTTGACTGAGGCTGGGCCGGGCCGGCCCGTGGGCCTAATAAAATATTTATTTAAAATATATAAAAAATAAAAAGTATACTGCCTTATAGAGATGGAAAGTCAGAATTGGATCTTTACTAAGAGGAACCAAAACTTGATCTTGAGAAGTTTCAAGAGATGATGTTGTCATATATTGGAAGGACCATTCTAGAAAATATCCCAATCTTTCAATGATGGTACGTGATGTACTTAGCATTCTTATTACCATTGTACCATCGGAATCAACATTTAGCATTGGTGGCGTGTTCTTACAAAGTACAGAAGTTGCATTTATTATGAAAATGTCCAAACACTTGTTACTATTCGAAATTGGTTGCACAAGTTTTTCCGAACTCAAACTGGTAATAATTTTTATGTGAAATTAAATATTATTAATTTTTAAAATTTAATTATTTTTAATATTTAACTAATTAATATTGCATATGAATTGTAGATGAAAGTGAAGATGTTAATTAAGACAACCTTGTCACAAGCGGATTCAAATGTGTTTGATGAAGATGATGTGTTGGATATATCATAAGCATCATGAACGTTCTCTTGAATAGGTTGTTTTAAGTTTTGACTTTTAGTGAATGAAATATAGTACCGTCTTTTACTTTTTTTAGTATTTATTGTGATATATTGGAACAATATAAAAAGTTATTAAATTTTGCGAATTTTTTCCAATAAGATATTTTTTAACTTTTAAATAATTATCTTTTTCTAGGTCAGAACTTAAAGAAAAAATATACAATTATATTTTTAAAAATGATGGGCCGGCCCGTGGGGGCCCGCAACCCACATAGGACTGGGGTGGGCTGACCATTATAAGGCCCATCAAAATGGTGGGCTAGCCTAGCCCAGCCCGTCAATTGCTAAAGCTCACGTGGGCTGGGCTGGGCTAGCCCGGCCCCACCCATATTGACAGCTCTAGTCTTGAAGTAAAATAAAGAGCAAAAGGAAAGACTGTTGTTATGCCTTTGTTGCTTTTACTGTCAAATAATGACGATGACTTTACTTTCTGCCTGAACCCACGTGCACAAAATCCTGGATCCGCCACTGTTAATGAGTTGATTTGTGAGAACAGTAATTGAGTGAATGCTTCATACCTTAAACAATTTTGTCCCTGTTGGATATCTTTCATATTGAAACTAAAATTGTGCAAGCCTTTGAGAGTTCATCATGCTTCAGTCTTCTTGCTACTGTAACCATACACTTCCATTATCTAGATATGTTAACATGCTATTTGAGGTATTTTGTTGTTCACTGTTTTGCTGAGATTGTTGTGGTACATACTGATGCGAGTTAAGTCGTGCAATTAAAGTTTTGGAGAAGAACATCTGAGTGCAATTGGTAGGAATTGAATGTTCATTAGGTTCTGGGAACACTGATTATTGTTTGTGTGCTTCTTTCGTGTAATTTATATTCGGACGAATTTTTAATAACTAAAGTGAATTTGAATTCTGTTTCCAATGCCTTACTAAAGGATAAAGGCTTTAAGGCTTTAGGATTAAAAATATAGTGATAGAAAATTAAGTTAACAAAGTCAAGCAGATTGATTGATTGTTCGGATATTCTCGTGAACTAAAGGACCAGAGCCAATAAGCTTTTGAATTGGATTGAACGCATGAAAATCCTTAATCATATGAGCAAATCAAATAATGACTCCAACTTTTCTTCTACCATATCGCACGATTTTCATGAATCTCAAATGAGTTTAGGAGAACAATTCATAAGCATCGCAGCTTGTTTTAGGTGCATTAATTAAATAAATTATCGCAACTATGGGTACGGTTCCCGTGGCATATTCACGATACATAAATCTCAATTTGGGTGTGCATTTCATGTGACCCGACCATAACTTCAAATAATAATAAAATAAACATGCTGTAGATCGTGGGTACGGTTCCCGTGACACGATTCGCAATGTGTACAAAAACAAACAAGTACGTGACATCGCGACTTGTTCAAACAAATTCCATAAATATTAAAAGCGGTTAAAAGGAATGATATACACATAGGTTTTGAATATTTAATAAATAACATAATTATGCCAATTATTAATAGTTAAGAGACCGTGCTAAAACCATGGAACCCGAGAGTGCCTCACACCTTCTCTCGGGTTAACAGAATTCCTTATCCGGTCTTCTGTGTTCGCAGACCATAAATAAGAGTCAATTTTCTCGATTTGGGATCTAAAATAAACCGGTGACTTAGGACACCATAATTATTCCAAGTGGCGATACTGAAATTAAATAAATAATCCTATTTCAATTATTGTCACTTTAATTGGAAAAACTCTCTACCCCTCGAAAAAAAGGAGGTGTGACATATTATGGTGAGGATGAGAGTAAAAACAGGAAGGGTGATGTCGTGCACTTGTTTTTGCCATGTTTAATATTTCCATTGGTGCAAAGCATGTTGTTTGTTGTGTCTCTTTACTGTTACCATTTTCATGATCTTGTACTCCCCTCAGCATATTTCCCCCCTCCCATTATTATCTGTTTAGCTGCTATTAGTTGTTATTGCTTGTATATTGTCTAACTGCACTGGTTTATGTTGTTGTCTTGTCCTAGCCTCGTCACTACTTCGCTGGGGTTAGGCTCGAAACTTACCAATACAAGGGGTCGATTGTACTGATACTGCACTCTGCACTTTCTGTGCAGATTTCGGTATTGGTCCGAGCTGATCTTGTGTTTAGCTGCTGGCTTCATCTGATCGAAGACCCAAGGTAGACTTGTTGGCGTCCGCAAGCCCTGACGTCCCCTTCCATACATTCACTTTACTGTTTCTTTTGTATCGAAAACAGTCATATTTCCTTCAGAAATTTGTTGTAGTTAAATATTAGAGTTCGTGGATTGTTACTCCAGATTCTGGGTAGCTTTATATATTGAGATTGTTATGAATTTCTACTCTTTTTAACTTGTTATGGTTTAATTGTTGTTAATCACTGAAAGGCTTAAGAATTGGTTTAATAATTCCTAACGTTGGCTTGCCTAACAAGCAAAATGTTAGGCGCCATCATGGCTCCGACGGTGGGAAGTCCGGGTCGTGACAGAATATCCGTATATTCAATAAATAATAGCATTTGAATGTTTCTTTGTTTCTACTGTATTTTTCAAGTAATATTTTTTTATGAAAAATTATATTTAATATTTTTTGTGCAATGCGCAGGTACGAATACTAGTTAAGAAAAGGCCAGGGTAAATTCTAGGATGTAATAAATTTTTTATGCTATCATGTCAAGTTATCTGAATTAACATGTAATTATTTTAATGACATGATTTAACTACTAAACAATCTGAGAAACAGAGTAATATACTATAATATGTTTAAATTCATTAACAATGTAAAAATTCCTTCTAATGTTCATGTATACAACATAAACGCAAAAAATTATATATTGCATATTATGACAAAAGAAGTCTAAAGAGAAATCAACGGAAAATGCCTTAGCTCACTCCTTTTTCACAAGTGAATTCATTCAGCTAGTCATCTAGTTTGGGTTCATATTGATTAGAACCATCACCAAGCAATAGCGACCTTAAAATAGCTTCCCAAAGTTTTGGGTCATAGAGTAGATGGTGACCTCCATAAGGAACTTCATGGTACTTAATCCATTGCAGCTTTTTACTAACATATCTCTGTATTTGGAAAGGCACGAGTGGGTCTTCATTACCTTGCCAAATATGAGCACTACAACTATCATCTTGTGAGAAAGGATTGCTCAGTTCCAATGGGTCAAAATCCCATTTCCCAGAAACCACAACAAGATCGCGGACAACTGTGTTAAAGTCCCTCCTTCTCATACGCTCCTGCACAAACTTGCTTGTTAGACTTAATGGATAATTTTAAGTAGGGGTGAACAAAACCAAACAGCAAACCGCACCAAACCGACAAACCGAGTCAAACCGAAAAAAAAAACCCGATTAGTGGTTTGGTTTGATTTGGTTTGATATTTAAAAAAAAAAACCGACTATAAATGGTTTGGTTTGGTATTAACTAAAAAAAGTCAACCCGCGACTAAACCAACCCGATATTTTATATATATATATATATATTTCTTTAACTTAGTTTATATTTTTTAACATCAGATTTGGGCTACAATTTTTATGCCCACTGCCCATAGATCACTTAGGTAAAAAAAGCCCACAAACCATTACACCCAACCCAAGTACTGATGTTTAGTTCACTTCCAAAGTTGAGAGAGAAGCAAACCCTACAGTCGCACATCTTGAGTTCTTCCTTTTCAATTCAAGTTCACTTCATCCGATTCAAGTTCAGTTCGTCCGATTCAAGTTTAGTTCGTCCCTACTCAGTTTAATTTCGAATCAACTCATCTTGATTTGGGGTAAGTCAAATCTCTATTTCAGATACTTCTTATAAACATAAGCTTTGAGATTTGGTTAATCTTTTTCATTTTGTTTTGTATCATAAGCTAATAGCTATTGCTTTGAGATTACAACTTTCTATATCATGTGCAGTGACTCTCTTTTCGGATGGAAACTACACCTTCTGCACCGGATGTGGAGATGATTATCAACATTCCTCCGACTATGCCAACGACATCTCAACAGCAAGGTATTGGCGCTCCTCATCGACGCGCTCCTCCTAAAAAGCAAAAAAGAACAACTCCTCTAGTACTTTCTAAATCTGGGAATACTGGTAGAGAGACGTCTGAGATTTGGGATCATTTCTCCAAATTTATTGCTAAAGAAGATAAATGTAGGGCAAAATGCAATTATTGTCCCAAAACCTTTGCTGCCGAAAGCATCAATGGGACTACTACGTTATGGACACACATAAATGTGAAATGTCACAAGTCCCCCTTTAGGTTCGTTGATAAGAGACAATCCACATTAAAACCTACCAAAGAAGGCTGGCTAGCAGGTGCTTTGGGTTCTACTGAAAGGGTGGTGTATAATGTGGATGAGATTAGGAGGGCCATTGCCGAATTTGTAATTATTGATGAGCAACCATTTAGAGTTGTTGAGGGAGAAGGATTTAAGAGACTAATGGCTAAAGCTTTACCAAATTTTGAATTACCTTCTCGTGTAACTGTTGCTCGACATTGTTTGAAGATTTATCTAGAAGAGAAAGAAAAGCTTAAAGAGCTTATCAAGAACCAATGTGTATGTCTTACTAGTGATACATGGACATCACTCCAAAATTTCACTTATATGGTTGTCACTGCACATTGGATTGATGATCAATGGAATCTACAAAAGAAAATTCTAAACTTTTTCCAAACACAAGATCACAAGGGTGAGACTATCGCTAAGGGGATTGAGGAATGTTTATTAGGTTGTGGCATTGAGAACTTGTTTACAGTGACCTTAGATAATGCAACTGCTAATGATGCTGCCATTAAGCATTTGAAGGTGCTTATTGATGATTGAAAAGGGGGAATACTTGGAAATGAGTTTTTACATGTTAGATGTAATGCTCATATTTTGAACTTGATTGTAAAAGATGGGTTAGATGAACAAATTGAGCCAATTTCTCGTATAAGGAGTGCGGTGAAATATGTTAGGTCTTCTGCTTCAAGGTTTGCTTCTTTCAAGTCATTTGTTGAGAAAGTTAAGATAGACACTCATGGTCTTGTGAGTCTTGATGTTGAAACTAGATGGAATTCGACATATACAATGTTAGATAAAGCTTTGAAATTTGAAAAAGCTTTTACAAGAATGTATTTGGAGGACCAAAAGTACCAAAAATACTGTCGAGAAATAAGTACAATAAGAGGAAATCCATCAACAGATGATTGTAAGAATGTGAAAGCTTTTGTCAAGTTTCTTAACATTTTCTATCAAACAACATTGAAATTTTTAGGCAGTTTGTATGCTACTTCCAACTCTTTCTTCCATGAATTTTTTAATCTTCGAAATGATATTATTAAGTATACTAAAAGTGATGATCTTACTTTGGTTGATATGGCAAAAAGGATGAAAAGTAAGCTTGAGAAATATTGGGGTAAATTTGAGAGTATGAATATGCTACTAATTATTGCTGTTGTGTTAGATCCCAGATACAAGATGAAGTATGTGAACTACATTCTTTCCATTGCATATGGTACTTTGTTGGGAAGAATAAAGTCTGAAGATGTGGCGAGTATTTTGACTCGCTTATATAATCACTACAATGATTCTTTCTCTGAGAATTCTAATGACAATATTGAAGGTGACATTGGTATAACGAGTGAACCTGGTGATTTGTTGCAATCTCAATGGGAGAAATATATGGAAGAGGAGGGAAATAGTGAAAGAAAATCCGATCTTGAGATATACTTGATAGATGATGTGGTAAAAATCAAGGATTTTAATATCTTGAGTTGGTGGAAAGCTTCATCTAGTAAATATCCAATTGTTTCAAAAATTGCTAGGGATGTTCTTTCTATTCCTATTTCTATTGTTGCATCTGAGTCAGTTTTTAGTACAGGTGGTCAAATTCTTGATACTTATCGGAGTTCTTTATCGCAAAAAACGGTAGAAGCTCTTATTTGTACTCAACAATGGATACGATTACCTTCTAAAGAATGCAAGTTTGAAGACCTTTTGGAGGAAGTCCAGAAACTTGAGGAAATTGAAGAAGGTAATTTTCTTCAATTCTTAATCAAATATGGTTCTGTTTGTTACTTTGTTTTATTTTATTTAGTACTCAAATTGTTTCTGTTCTCTCAGAATATCCAGACTCAACTTTGAGGATTGATTAGCCAGCTCTGTTCCTGATGTTACAGTTCATGATGGAATAGATTGTTTGTTATTAATAGCTACTAGTTGTACACAGTCTTTTAATTAACCAAGACTTCTTAAGTTTACTTGAGACAGTTGTGAATTGTAATAGTCTAGATGATCTTAGAGTATTACTCCATCAACTCTAATGTAGTTATAGTTTTGCCATATTCTGTTTTGTATCTAATGCTATTGGAAGGAGTTGGAGTAAAGTACTGAATTTCTCTAGCAATTGTTTACTTGTTGAAGTTATTTTTTAGTAATTAACCTTGGATTTAAGTGTTGAAATTGGTGGCAAGCAGAGGCATATCAACTTGATGGCATGGGTTCCTTCTGTCTAGTGATATGGATATGCTTGTGTGTGTGCTAGTTTTAACAGGTATTCTGTCCAGTGGAATGGATATACTTTTGTGTGTTAGTTAATTTTAACATACTTTTGTGTGTTAGCTAATTTTAACAGGAGAAAAGTACTTGTTAAATTGAGCAAATTTAAATACTTATGGGAGTTTGTTCTATGTGCTAAATATGTTTAATCTCAATTATCTTTTGGCTTTTCTCTTGCGCCTCTTCATTTAAGTCGTAGTGCTGCCCATTGAAGTTGATTTGAAATTTATTGAAACTGTTGGCCATTCTAATCTTGGACGCCGAACTACAAAAACCCAAGAAACCCGAAAAACTCGAGAAAATAGAAAGCTGAAAAACCCGAGTGTTATTGGTTTGGTTTGGTTTATAAATATAAAAACCCGACACCTTTGATTTGGTTTGATAAAGGGAAAAGCCGAACCAACCCGGCCTATGTACACCCCTAATTTTAAGAGTGGGTTAGCAACTCGGGGAATTCGAAAAAGTAAATTCTAAACTTAAATACACTAGCAATGTGGATATTTGCACCTTAACTTGATGGTAAAAAGAAAATCACACATTAATTGTCACCACATAAAGTTTAACTCAAACAAAAGAAGCAACATGTTATTAGCCAGGAATAAAGGGATTCAAAAATATGTAACAATATTATACCTAGCTAGGATTTGAAGCTACAACTAAAATATTTTTTGAATCACCTTTATCATTATACTAGGCTTTTCTTATATTAAGGGATTGAACAATTCATGCATATACAAATATTAAATATTCTTACTTTATTTGCAGTACAAGTTTTCAACAAAAATGTTCAATTTACTATAAATCACAATAATTAACATTTCAAAATATTTTAAAAGCATATAAAAATGTCACAGTTAAAGAACAACTCGTTGACTCTCAAAATTCGAAATGTATAATTCTTTTTGGGAAAGAGCAACTGTTGAGTGTGTGAACAAAGTCCCACACGGAAAGTAAAAAAGAAAGGAAAATTACCAGCTATGTCCATTTATAAGTAGCTCATTACAAAAATTGGTCAATTGATAAAATATTACTAATATTAGCCAAATTAGCCAATTAGCTATTTGTAGGAAAGAAATATCAAAGTTTTGCTTTGTTTTGAGTGGGTGGTATTAGAATAGATTGGGCACAACTTAAGGAGCTTGAATCTCAGTTTTGGGATGATTTGGTGAAGTTTTGAGGTGGTTTGAATAGAAAATTCGAAGTAAAAACTGAACATGAAAAAAATGATATGTGTATCACACTCTGTATCATTTGTGCATCATATATGTATCATATTTGTATCAATTATGTATCACATGTATATCCATATATACCTGTGTGTGAGATACATACGTGATACATGTGTAGCAGAAGACTTTTTTTAACTCGATTTAATTACGAATTTTGATACAAAACCAGTCCAAATCACCTTCAATCTTCCTCAAATTTTGTATATTGACTTATCTATATATTTTTAATGAATTTCAACTATACCCATTGAAAAAGTTCTTTTTTTGTTTAGATTTTTGGAATATTGTATATATTTTTGTATTTCATCACCTTATTTGCTACCTCATTCATGAAATTTTCTTTCCGTCTTGTATCTAGTGTTGTTAATCACGCTTAAAAATATGAAAGATGATTTTTGCATGTGATTCTTTGAGAGAAAGAATCCTATTATTTGGTTTTTCAATTTTTGTTGGCTAGTTTTAGTAAGTCTATGACTAATGGCTAGAGGTTGATAAGTTGAGATTTATTTGGGACATTTGTGTAAGTTTCCCAAAAATAAAAGTAAACTACTTATAAGGAATTGACTCGGGATGTGAGACTTTTGGGAAAAACCATGCGGGTTTGGCCCAAAACGGATAATATCACGCCATGTTAAGAGTATCTTTGGGTCATTTTAGCCCGACAACTGGTATCAGGGCCAATTATTTGGCGGGACTATAGAGATGACAGAGTGTGACGTGGGGGACGGCTTAGTGCCTTTGCCCGTCTATGGGGTTTACGACCTTTACTCGTAGCTTTGAGGACAAATACATAGCCTTGGGCTTCGGTGACCGCAAAATACTCATGTTCATGTTGGTGGCACACAGTGAATCTCCAAATTAGCCCATAAATGGTAATGGGCGATCATGTGAAACTTAGCTAAAGGGGAGATTGTTAGGTGTGTGTCAATAAAGTCGCATGTATACGGGTAAAACCGGGCTCACGGTATACCCCGGTCTCCGATAAGATAAACGAAGCTCGAGACATGATGACGAGGGACTAGAATCGAGGCAAGGGTCTCATCGAGTCAGAGTCTGAGGGCATGACACTCACCCTCGAGAATATCGGGGTCATGATTCGGGATCGGTCCTAATCCTGAAAGACTTCGAAGAATATTGTCGGGCAATCAAGCACGACTAATAGAAGGCTTTAATATCCGTGACTTGCCAGATATCACGACGTGGATCTCGGCACGAATCAATGAAGAACCGGTAATCAGTTAAACAGAAGATTTTTTTATCTTTTATAGAATTGTACCTAGAGTAAGACTCTCCTACTATATAGGGAGGGGAGAGGAGGGAGGGGTTTGATAATTTATAGGGACACAGTAATACGTATTTCAAGGCAATATATTATCATTTTCTTTTTTTCTTATTCCTGCTCGTTAGTGCTAGTCTTTGTGAGCCGGACCGGGGTGGATATTCCATCAAGGCTATAATCATCTTCATCACGTGGTTTGAGTTTACTATATCTTTATTTAACTAATCTAACACAATTTATCGTTTGTATCGAATTAATACGCGTACCTTTAAAACCAGTTATAAATTTAATTGTTATCCGTTCCTGAGGGTAAACATCGCACATGAAAAGTAGAGAAGAAACATAGTTCAAGGGGAGATTGTTGGGTGTGTGTGAACAAAGTCACACATGAAAAATAAAAAAGAAAAATAAGATACTTATAAGGAGTTGGATACTTTTAATGGTGTGAGTCCTTTTGGAGAAAACCATACAGGTTTGGCCCAAAACGGACAATATCAAACGTATTAAGAGTATTTTTTGGTTTGTTTTAGCCTAACAAGAATTAGCAAGAAACTATTACCTGACCAGCCAACTTTTGTTATCGATTCTTCAAAATCTCAAGGTCATGCTTGGTGAGGTTCTTTGTCTCTTGACCATTACCATGACGCTTGAGGGAAGAGGACAGAATATGAATGCAGTAAAGTAGTCCAGGAGCATTGTTTCCCAGCCAGACCAGTTTTCCAATCATGTCCTCCTTGGGTCGTCCTTTATCATATCTTTAGGAAGTGAATGCCATATGTAATTTATTGGCGATATACCGCAAGAGCCACTCCTGCTAGCCTGCAACATAAATAGATAAGGTTACGTGTGTATTTGGTACGATGTAACTCAGATTTCCAATAAAAGAAATATTTTTCAATATTTGATTCGTGAATGAAAAGTATTTTTCGAAAAAATTATGTACTCTATTAAACATTGATCTTAGTAAATCTTATAGTTTTTTTAATAATAATGTTTGACTCAAAAGATATCGAAACCCTTTTGAACAAATCAATCAAAGAGGATGAAAGAGAAAATCTTAGTCAGACATAATAAATTTTAGATCAAAGAGCTAATAGAATGGATTACATATAGGACGAAAAGATGTAAATAATTTTATTGAGATTTAACATTATGCCTCCCATCAATCGATGGGGAGATAGCTTTTACATGTTCCTCTGTAGATGACTTCCTTTCTATCAAGAACATAGGATGAGAGCTTTTGAGAGAGAAAAGGAAAAAAGCCCCCCTAATCGAGGGTTTTCCTTTACAATATATAGTCAAGATACTCTTGCCCTTTACTTAGCCCGACGCCCTCTTGCCTTCAATGTGTCTTAGTCATGCTTTTAGGCACTGCTCTTTCCGACTCGTCGAACGTCGGGAAAGGAATACAAAGTGGGCTAGATTATCTTTCACTGCCCGCCCACTTAGGTGGGACATCGGTCAGTTCGGTCGTGATGGTCAGATTTTGACCAATACAGTTAGTCCCTCCATCTATCGGGGTCGTCCTCTGTCGGGCTCGACAGACAGATCATGATTGTTACGAATTCGAGCGAAATTTGACTTCTGACTTTTTGTTCCTTAGTTACATTTCTTAGGTTTTTGGCGGAGTGGCGGCGTTCTTTTGATACCCATTGACCGTTGCAGCAGTTTCGAAAGCGAAACGTCGCTTGGTATCAAAGCATTGTTTGGTGGTTATCGCCATTATTGCACGTGTTCTTGGGGAACTGAAACGTTTTGTGCCCTATCAGACTCGATTGGCTACTCTTAGGCTTCGTGCTTGGGGGATTTATGTCTCTTATAAATAGAGGGAGCTTATCATTCGATTGACACACTTTTTTACCTTTTACTTGAGAGAATTCTGCAGATATACTTTCTTTCTGATACCCCAAATTTCTGCTTGCCCTCTTGTTCTCTGAAAATTCTCATCCCTTCTTTTCGTCGTTTCTTTGGCATGTCTTCTGATCAAAATGGCTAGTGACTCTTCTCGCGCTGATCTCCCTGTCACTAGTCCGATACCGGAAATTGCTGCTCGGGCCACCAGAGGGGTAGATGCGGTGGAAAATGAGGAGGTCCCGTCGATGGTTGAGATCCTGCCTCACCCCGGGAGAGAGTCGACCGACTTTAATACTCGCGCCGGGGTGGAACCAGAACCTGTCCACTCCATTATGAGAGAAAGGGACATTGCAGAGTTGAAAGAAAGGTGGGGAATTCCCAATTATGTTAGCGGCCGGCGGTGGGGAACGACATAGTTCATTTCGACCGCCCCGGGTACTGGTGTTCTATGCCTACCCCTT